TTAATTGTGATTTCATTCTCCTTCATTCAAACACTTGTTATATTTGTAGTCACCTTGATTTAATTTGTTTCCTAGGCAATACTTTGGAACAGTTCCCTTCTAGTGATAAACACATCCTTTTTATATGGATATGTACTACTTTTACTCTCAGAATAATCATCTCTCTAAATTTTGGAGCAGTTATTTTGCCTATATTCTTTCTTTTTTTTAAGTTTATTTATTTTTGAGCGAGAGAGCACATGAGTGGGTGAGGGGCAGAGAGCGAATCCCAAGCAGGCTCCACACTGCCAGCGTGGAACCTGATGCAGGGCTTGAACCCATGAACCACAAGATCATGACCTGAGCTGAAACCAAGAGTCGGATGCTTAACTGACTGAGCCACCCAGGTGCCCCTATTTTGTCAATATTCTTATCACAGATTATTCTTTGTAAAAATTTGTCCATAAGAAGAAGGAAATTGTTAGAAAAATTTTGGTTTACAAGAAATGACTTTATAGGGGAACTATAAGTGTGCTTTTAGGCAGAGAAAACGCAGCTGGTGGAATAAGGAAAATTATTTTAGAGAGGCAGTGAAGCAGTAGAGCCTTGGAGATGGATAGGAACAGAGTCAGCACAGAGTAGAGAGGAAATTGAAAATTGAACATATGGCTCCAGAAATGGAGAGGAGGAGTGGTAAGGACAGATACTTCTGCCAAATGACCTACATCTTTTCTGTAAAGTAGATCATCTAGAATCTAGAAAGCTGAGCTGGGGAGATTATAGTTGATACCACCGGCAACAAGGGGCTATTATTGATTCCTCACTAGGGATATGACAAGAAAACAGTTTTATATTAATTTTTTCATGGGAGACTATATGGGGGAGATGATAATATCCTAAAGCAGCAAATTTGATAAAGTTAATTAGAGTGAAATGGATGTTGCTGAATAAGGATGGTAAGATACGGAGAATAAGGAGAAGGAAGAGTCCAAAATGATAGTAAGGGACTCACCTTCTTTCCTGGGAGCTGTGGGTATTAGGTAGACTAAAATAGGCAACCAAATGAAATATTTGCTCATTGTATACTCTGTCTGGTAACATTATTTTAGTAAATTTCACATTTGTCATATTAACTTATTAGCATTATTGAGTCTGGAAGAAAGAAGTTGGGAAGGGTAGCAGGTTTGGAAGGAAAAAAAATAAAAGGGGGATACATAGATAAACCTGCAACTCTGATTAAGTCTTTCATTTCATCCATGAAGCCTTTTGCAGTTATTTCCAATCTCATTAAGTTTTCCCTTTGATTCCTGCCTTTATTCCCTGTACCATTCATTTAGGTTGAGCCTGACATGTGCTGTCTTGAATTGCTAGGTTGTTTTTTTATTTTTTATTTTTTTATAATGCATCAAAACTCCCCATGTACATTTTTAAGGAGTAAAAAATGGAGAAGGAGACCTTATGCTTAGAATATATTCTCAATATCTAGAATTATGTTATGTACACATTAGAATTTTAGTACATTTAAAGCTTTTGTTGTATTATTTTAGACTGAGTTTAGCACACAACAAGCACTTAATAGCTGTTGCATGAGTAAGTAAAGCTATTACGAGAAATACCGAAGAAGAATATCTTACTTGCAGATATCAAGATAAGATACAAGAGCATGAAATAGTTAAATATGTAAGTAGGATCATTTGTTTATTTTTGGGCCAGGAATGAAATAAGTTTTGAAAAAGAGTGGTTCTGGATTCTGGTGTTGAGTTACTAGTGATCATGGGAATCAAAGGAAGGATTTTTTCAGTGTACAGAGACCTCTTTATATTTAAGGTTAGAATGAAATGAGAAAGATCAAAAGATGAGGAAAACAAGGTAATTAAGGGATACATTTTAGAAGTAGTAATAAAGAACCAGCTTTGAGCTGTGGCAAGGGGTTGGAAGCATGACACTACAGGACTCTACCTCTTCTAAGGGTGTTGTGGAAGAAGTTAGAGGAGTATGGAAGTAGATAGGGTAGTCCTGAGTCTCAGAGTGGGAGGCCTAGAGAGGGCTTCAAGTTTAGGTAGAGAAATGCCTGGATTTAGTCCTATCTTTTGAAAGAAGGATAGTTAGGCTGATTGATGGTTTGATGCTATTTCTGGATTGGTAGTGAGGACAGCATTGAAATTCAGGTCTCAAATGCAGGTATGAAGTTGTACATGGGACAAGGTAGAATGGTAAAGCTTAAGTGACGAGGAAGAAACCAGAGTTTTTATTTTGTTTTTTTATCTGACATATTTCTCAGTTTGTTGATTTTCTTGATGCTTTAATGAGTATATCTGAAAAATCCAGCAAACCATTCTCTTTATATATCATGTATTTGCTGATGCTTGCTTTGATTAATTATACTTTGGTTTATTTTAGATGAAAAATAACACTAAAAGTTTGATTTTCTTGTAAAGACAGTTCTCAAGGAAAGAATAGACAACTTAGGGATGATTATTGTCTCTTTTGTCTTGCTTAAGAAAGTTTCATGTTTTTATTGATTATGGTTGTCTTACAAAGAAGACTTAACTTTTCTCAGATTTTTTTGCAACTGACTCTTAGCTTACCTCCATCTTTTCTCAGCACCTTAGGCTGGATCAGTATACTTTAGTGTGTTATTATGTTATATATAGAGGAGATTACTTTATTCCATTAATGAGTAATAAGCCTGTTGGTGCACTCTAAAAATGTAATTTCCTGTGTGCCTGACATTCACAATGTTTTGATCCATTGATACTTCTAGGTTTGAGTCTGCTTTCGTATATTAAAACTGTTCCTTATAATAAAAAAAATGCTAGTACAAATACCATTTTCTATATATGTGGAAATAACTGAAAGGCTTAGATACATTTATTAATCTTTTTCACTCTTTGGTTTGTGAATATCTGGTAATTACAGGATTTATTTGTGAATTTGTCTTCTACTCTACTTGGCACTTTGGCTAAAAAGGATTCCTGTTTCTTAGTGCTGCATGCTACATTTTCATGGTTTCTTTGCAGTGTAGAAACTGACAGAAATGTTGGAACTACTTTTTCGTGCCCCTGCAAAATGGGACAGAGCCATTCAGCAACTGGTTACATAGTCTGTAATCATTCTTCTATCTCACACCGAACCCAAGTCGTTAGTTATATTCAGTACACATCACTTCAGTGGTGGGAACATGTTTGTATTCCAAAGACTTGTTGGTGGTGATTTTACCATTTTATTTTATGTTCCAAATAATGATACCAAAATAAGCCCTAAGAATGTTCACTACTATTATTCTATAACCTGATAGAAAGAATTATTAACTAATCATTAACCTCCTGTTTTTGTGCCAAGCTTCTCCTTGATTTATGATTCTCATACTGCCTGCACTTCAGGAATTTATGAAAGCTTCCAATTCCTTATTTTGTCAGCCTGAACCCTAGCTTATGTTGCATTTTCCTCATGAACCCTTTCTACATAGCTATATTTTCCAACTTTCCACTGACTCTGTAAGATGTTTATAATCTTGTGTACCATTTTTTTAGTGTATTTTTTGAAAAATGTAACCACTAGTACATTGAATTTCCTGGATTATTATTAAGGAGTTGTTGTTTTACTTTACCTTATAAAGAACAGAAGTTTATTTCTCCTGATTATGGAGGCTGTAAGTCCAGGATCAGGGTGCTAGCCTGGTAGGGTAGGGGCCCTCTTCCAAGTTGTACATTTATTGGACATTTATGGTTGTACATTTGTTGTAATGGTTGTACAATTTGTTGTAATGGTTGTACATTTATTGTAAGGACACTTCTTGTGTTCTTACATGGTGGAAAGGTCAGGATGTGTAATATATTTCAGAGGCTGTTGAGCGGTTTTTAGTTTTAAGATTCTGTTTTCATTTCAAGGATAGATTGAAAATGTAGTACTAAAGAATGGATGACTGAGGATCATCAGTTGTGATGAGAATTGACATTACCATTATTGATCTAAGAACCTTGGTGCGTTTTTGTTTTAGAACAAGCACCTCTTTTCATATCTGTGAAAACAGAGCTGAAGATGGAATAATGTTGACATCTTAATGTTTCTTGTAGCATTTATTTGTTGTGTAATTAGTATCCTGTCTTATACATAGCAGTGACCTAAAGTTATATGCAGTTCTATAAACATCCTTATTTGGTGATGATTTAATGTACAGGTCAGGAAAATACAGGCTAAGCTAAGATACTGTCATTGTTGAGTTTACAGATAATTAAATTTTCATTTTTTGACCTTTCTTTTGATGTGGATTATCTTTTTTTTTTTTTAATTTTTTTTTTTTTTTAACGTTTATTTATTGTTGAGAGACAGGGAGACACAGAGCGTGAGCAGTGGAGGGGCAGAGAGAGAGGGAGACGCAGAATCTGGAGCAGGCTCCAGGCTCTAGGCTCTGAGCTGTCAGCACAGAGCCCGATGCGGGGCTCGAACTCACGAGCTGCGAGATCATGACCTGAGCTGAAGTCGGTTACTTAACCAGCTGAGCCACCCGGGTGCCCCTGATGTGGATTATCTTTTAGGATTTTTGTGTTGTTTTCATATTTTGTATATCAAGAGAAAGCCTCCTGTGAAGTCTAAACACTCCCTTCATCCTCCAGTATTTTACTGAATTTTCGAATTAGGCCCCTTTTTGTGCTTTTAATTAATTTCATCAGTTTCCTTAAATATGGGAATGAAATTGATGTTAGTGTGTCCTGACTTCTGCTTTATTCTGTGGTCTGATAATCTTTTCCCAGAATGTCTTTAATATTCTCTTCCAGATAGATTTTTGTAAAATCTTGGTTTCTTTCTCAGTTTGTATACTCTTGATTCTTAGTACTGTATTGCCTGTTAATGAACTCTTCAACACATTATTTACTTACACACACACACACACACACACACACACAATCATTTTGGAAGCACCTATATGTAGGCTTAGTAAAGGATTAACCGTGCAGTGGCTTTGTCACAGTGGACTTTTTGTTTATTTGTAAAATTGACTCTTTTTTTTTTTTTAACAGATAAGTGTAAAGCAGGAAATTACTTTTACTGATGTGTCTGAGCAACTGATGAGAGACAAAAAGCAAATCAGAGAGCCAGTAGACTTACAGAAAAAGAAGAAACGGAAACAACGTTCTCCTGCAAAAGTAAGAGAATATATTAAGGTGGTGGTCCCTAACCTATTGATTCCAAACTGTTGGTTAATCTTATGGGCAGGAACCTAGCTGGATTACAAAGCAGACATAAAAATTTCCCGTGGCTTCGTAAAGTTGGAATGTTGTATCGGGAGAATGGGATGCATGTCTGCATGGAGGTGGTGGGCGATTGGTTTCAATTTTTCCACTTTTTTCACCTTATCTTTTTTTCTAAAAACAAACTTTTCTTTTTCCATGTCTCTTCTGCGCTTGCTGCTCATTCATATTAATATTACAATTTCAAGAAAATTAACCAGTTACTCATCAGGGAAATGTGGGATACCTGTACTACAATGTAAACTCCATGCCTGGGATAGTAGGCATTTTAGACCCTTAATAAATACTTGATGGGTAAATGATGGATTGGTAAATAAGTGACCTAGTAAATACTAGTAGTAATTGTCTGCTCTTTTTCCTCTTCAGTACAGTAATAGTTGACTATAGGTGACATTTTGGTATTCCTAAGAAGTATCTGAACTTTGAGCGGTATGTTTATATCTTTATAGTTAACTTTTCACATTCTGTTTTCCCTCATATAGTGAAGAAGGATTTTTTAATAAGGTCATATTATAATATGACCTAATTTTGATGGCTACTTGTTTTTGCATTTGTGATTTAGGTAATCATTATTTATATATTTTGTCTATTTTTGGACTCCATGATATGCTAGAGCCAGCTTTGTATATAAAGATTAATAGATTGAACTTCCTGATTTTTTAACAGTGTGTAAGTGATTTTTACATTGAAGTTCTTAATGGTTTTTATAAAGATGTCTTTTGATACATCATACTATATTCGGGGATTGCTGTGTTGTTGGAAGTTGTGTTCTCATTGCCTTCATTTTAAATCATGCCACACTTAAAATATTTGGGTATAGATCTTTGTGTGTTACTGAGTCAGAGGGCATGAATTTTTAAAAAGGGTTCTTCACAGTATCACTCCTTCCAGAAATGTTGTACCAGTTACATTGCTACCTACAGTGGACCTGATGTGTGTCTGTCTTTACTCTCAAGTGTGAGACCTTTCTTTTTTGTAGCTTAAAGTGGACATCTCATTATAGTTTAAATTTTGGTTTATTACTGGCCATACTAAACTTTTTTCCTGCCATAATTATTGGCATTTTATATGTTTTCATGTTTTGTGAAATCCCTCCTGTTTTCCTTCCCCTTCTTTTCTGGGGGTTAATTTTTTTCCCCAGTGATTTATATGATACTTTTTTCCCCCACATTAATGAATGAATCAAGTTCTTCATGTATAGAACAATACAGGGTTTTGAGAAAAAATTAATTTATAAACTTGCAATAGAGATTATGTTACTTTGGGTTCACTGCCACTCTATGGGGAATAAAGTCTTTTTAAAAAAACATGATTTGTGTAAGTTCTACATTCTCCTTGACATTGCCATCTTTTTTCCTGGTGCTAATGAGTGTAATGTATTCTGAAATTCTGACTAAAACTCAGATTGTTATCTTCTAGTAGGATGTTATTTGGAATCTTTATTTGGTGATGTGTTCTAGGTGTTTGTAAATACAGATCAGAGTTTTAGAGGTTTTAAGCTATTTTGCTTGTCTAATTTGTAGGTAAACTCATTTATAATGTATTGTAAGTATATGTGTATGTACTTGCTAGATAAAGGATTTGGCCTATTTTACGTATATTACATACAAGAAAATGTTTTGGAAAGGTCTTTTTAGGGAATTCTTAGGAGAGTGAAATAACCAGAAATAATACATGGGAGATGAGGGTTTGAGAATAACAAAAACAATAAGAAAAACAGTAATTTTTTATTTTTATTTTTTTAAACATTTTTAAAATTTTATTTATTTATTTTGAGAGAGAGAGAAGAAGGGCAAGTGGGGAGAATTGTCTTGACACGTTACATGTAACAGAGAATGGTTTTGGATGGTTTTTAACATTGGTCTGAAGTCTCCAGGTGAATAATTTTTGCATCTGGAGTCTTAGAACTTTGAGCTGAGGGAGAACCAGTGTGTTATTTTACATTTTCTCAAGTTTGTTTTAAAAAATTTGCACATAATATTTTTCATTAAAGTAACTGTTTCTGCCTTTTTATAAGAAGAGAAAGAAAAGGTTATCTCGTGTTTATAAGTGAAAGTGTTGTTTGTTTTAAATTCCTTAAAAACAGTTTTAAGTTTCTCAAAGAACTATAACTTGTTGTGCTTAGAGGACTCCACTTTCCCCTAAAACCTTTCCCAGATCTTGAATTTTGTTATTATGAATATTTTGAGTGTGTGCCACCATTGTGTCATATTAGATTGGGGATCTTGTATAGGAAATATAACTAATGTGGTAGACTTTTAGTTAAAATATTAGAGCTTCTACATCCCTGTAATTGTGGCTCCTTTCAAGGTAAGCTTTGTAGTGAGAAGTACTGTATTGTTATGTCATGTTTAGCTGCTGTGGATTTGAAGCAATAATTGCTTTCTAAGCCTTTATCATATGGCAAAGCATTGTCATCTTAAAAATTGAAAATTGCTAAAATGCACTTGGCAACATCTTTGAAGAAGAGGGTAGTCAAACTAAGGAATGTTAGCTAGGTCAAGTTATTTGGTACTATCCTGGATTAAGCTGTTTTATGAAAGTAAGTTCCCTACATAATAAAATCTTGCCCCTTTTAAATGCCAAATTTAATTTTAACCACTTCATTGGAAATTTTTAATGTGTTTTCTTTTTAAATATAACGCATTTGAACTATAATGTCTAGTCTAATGTCTATGTTGATGATGTAAATGTTTACAAAACTTGTATGTATTCTAACGAAGCCCTTTGGGAGGACTTGAGATATTAGGGCTTTTTCCCCCTTACCCTGAAAACTCCTGGCTGGTAGACTTTAAGTATTTTTTGACTGCTTATACTTGCTCATTGTCTCATTTTTTTAATGACATGCTATTCATTTTTACATTGCTATACTTAGTTCCATTGCCCCTTTGAATCTTTTTCTGTTTTGTTGTGGATTAGGACTATGGAGAACTGAAGTTATTAGAAATGTGTGAAAAGTCTTAGTAAACTTAATTCATTCTCAGTACATTCATGTTAGTGGGTGTCCTCCTGGCTGTCATTAGAATCCCCTATAGGGCTTTTCCAGTTAAAAAATTTTTTTCTTAAGTTTATTTATTTATTTCGAGAGACAGTGGGGGAGGGGTAGAGAGAGAGAGGGAGAGAGAGAGATCCTAAGTAGGCTCCACACTGTTAGCACAGAGCCTGTTGCGGGGCTTGAATTTACAAACTGTGAGATCATGACCTGAGCTGAAACCAAGAGTCGGATGCTCACCCAGCTGAGCCACCCAGGCACCCTGCCCTGGCTTTTCCAGGTTTAAATACCCAGGCCTCATCCCTGGGGATTCTTGTTGTCGGGCTTTCCATTTGTACTTTAAAAGAGTCCAAGGCAATTGTGATTTATGTTTAAGCTTGGGAATCTCAAGTCTTAATACTAGAAGTTTCTGAACAAATGAGATATTACTTTGATACTGAGTTGTTATGTGAATCAGGAAGTAACATTTCACACCACAAAGTTTTTATGAGGATTATTGAGTTAACATCAATGAACTCTAAAAATCTTAATTTAAAAAAAAAATTTTTGACGTTTATTTTGAAAGCGAGTGAGAGCAGGGGAGGGACACGGAGAGAGGGAGAATCTCAAGCAGATTCCACCTGGTCAGTGCACAGAGCCCAACGTAGGGCTTAAACCCATGAAACCGTGAGATCATGACCTGAGCCAAAATCAAGAGTCAAGTACTTAACTGACTGAGCCACCCAGGCACCCCTATTTATTTGTTTTTGAGAGGGAGAGCACAAAGGTGGTTGGGGCAGATAGAGAGGGAGACAGAATCCCAAGCAGGCTCTGTGCTGTGCCCAAAGTGGGGCTGTAACACACGAATTGTGAGATTATGACCTGAGCTGAAATCAAGATTGGAAACTTAATGGACTAAGCCACCCAGCTGCCCCTAAGAATCTTTTTCAGTAAAATATAACAATATTATCTTAATTCAGTATTGTATACATTTTATAGGTCTTTTCAAATGTCTTAGTAATTGAATGAGATAGAGCAGAGTACTTTTAATTGCTTCTTTATTCTGAAATGTATCTCCTTTTTCATTCATTCTCTCAGCAAACAATTTGGTTGCCTATTATATGCCAGAATCTCTTACCAAGTGCTGAAGAAGGGAACTATGTTTGTTATAATACTTTAGGTGCTCTGCGTAGAAATTGATTATTCAAAGTTATGTTGAACTCAGAAAGCATAGAATATTCCACAAATCACATAGATTGTAAATATAGAGAATCCTTTCTCAGCAATTTATTATAAACCATTGGTTCCCAGAAAAGATTTGTGATTTTGGTATCAAAAAGATCTTAAATTATATAAAATTGAGAAAACTTAATTAAAGGGGACAGAGAAATAGATATTACCAGGCATTTGTCATACTTTCTTCTACGCGTTAACTTGATTGTGGAAGAAGTGGTGTTGAAGCTGAAGAACTGCTTATAAGACCAGGAATAGAAGTACAGAATAGTATTTAAGAGAAAAATGAAGAGGAACATTAGTAAAAGAAGTATTAATATTTTATTTCTCTCATTTCCCAGGGAGTTCCGTATTCTGGATAAATAATTTTCCCATAAAACCAAACCCCCCTAACTTTAAAAAATATTTTGATGTAAACCTTTCTTTAAAAACTGTTGCACATTTTTTTTTGCCTAGTATTTAGGAAACCTGAGAGAAATGACTCTTTCTAAAACTCATGGTTATTATGCTGAGCATTAGTTATTGTACCATACTTACAAGATAGTGAATTTCATGTTCTGGCACTATCAGAAGCTTGTCATTTTAAATTATTGTTTATTTTTTTATTTTAGAGAAAGAGAATCTT